GTCAGGGGCACGGGGAGCACCCCGGGGGTGTGTGTGTGTGTCCCCCCCCAGCGCCTCGGGGAAGGGGGAAGGCGCTCACAGATGCCGGGCGTGGAGCAGGTGATGGAGCCGTCCTCGGGCACCATGTGGGAGTTGTAGCGTTGGTTGGGGTAGACCTCGGTCATCTCGCCCGCCCGCTGCCGCTCCCCGATCTTGGTCTTCAGGTACACCCCGAAACCCACGTCAGCTCCCTCCGACCTGAACTGCCACCTGTGCCGGAAGGAGCCGGTGGGGTCCTGTGGCAGGGCTGGGGACACCCACCGTTGTCGCCCCAGCCCCGTGGCGTGGAGCCCCCCTCCTCACCTGAGGACGCAGCCGGGGAAGAGGATCTCGTACTCGACCTGGTGGGACGAGCCGCGGTTGACCACCACCGTGTGCTCGTACTGCTGCGCCAGCTGGTCCCGCACGTAGTAGTGCTGGGGCACGTCCCCCCCGTAGTTGATCTGGAAGGGGATGGAGATGGACGTGGGTATGGGGGGACGACCCGTGCACCCCCCCCCCAAGGAACCCGGGGCGGGGGGGCTTCTCCTACCTTGCTCGGGCACTTAGGGTCCCCGTTGGGGTCCATCAGGGTGCCCCCGTATTCCACCGGAATCTGCTCGGGGTCAATGTACTTCTGCAGGACCTCCTTCCAGTTGGCTGGTGGGGTGGAGGACAGCAGGGTTTGGGGGGGCTGTGACCCCTGCGGAGAGCCCCAGCCCAGCCGGGGACACCCCCCCCCCCAGGGTTGGGGTTTCACCCCTGGGTGGGACGAAAGCGAAGGGGTACATGGCACCCCCTTTTCGGCTGCCACCGCTCCACCCCCAGCCGGGGACACCCTGGGGAGGGGGTCAGGACTCACATCCCAGGACCACGACCTTCTTGCGGGTGTCCTCGCTCAGGAAGTGCTTGATGAGGTTGTAGGCCACGGGGAAGATCTTGGGGGCGGGGGGGCGGACGGGGGGCGTTAGGGTGGGGGTCAGCACCCGGCCGGGGAGAGTGGGACCCCGGGGCCGAACTCACCCTTCACGATAAACAGGCGCCTGAGGGCCTCG